CCCCCGCCCCCCCCCCCACCCTACCAGCCTCAGTGATTTTGCATACACCATTCCCCATGCCTAGAATGTCTGGCCTACCTACTCCCTTCACTATCCCCATTCATGCCAGTGATGACAATCACTTTTCTAGGATCAGTTTAAACATCATTCTTCAGAGGACTTTTTGACACTCTAAATTAGATTCCATGCATCTTTTTTGAAGCTCATCACAAATAGCATTTTTCCAGTGTCTTTTTTCCCTACTAGACTGGAGACCAGGATCACATATGTATTGTGAAGACAATAAGCCCTAAAACCAAACATACAGTGATATTTAAGGAAGTTAAGATGAATGACTATCATGTTGCCTCCCACTTGAAACATTCCATGCCTTCTCATAGATTCTACAGCATCCAAAGCCTATCGTGATCTGCTCCTTGTTCAACCTCTCTTATTTCTTATCCCAAACCCATGGCTCCATCCAGACTGAATTGTGTGGGATTCCCCAAAGGCAGCCTGTTGTTCCTTAATTGCATGCCTTCTCACAAGCTGTTCCTTCTGCCTGATGAGCTATTCTTGTTAATTCCTAGTATGGTCTTCAAGCAAATTAGGGGCTCTACCCACATGGCCCCCATTCTGAATTGAGTGCCTTTCCTCTGTGTTCCCATAATGCTCCTATGGGACTGGTGCCTGTCTAGACCTCTCACGTGCGCTTGGTTGTATTTCTTGCTTTCTTGGGCTCTTCTTTCTCCATTTCTTCCCTTGATCATCTTCCTTTCAAATGGCTGATATCTTGAGGATTTGGAAATAGGCTTTCCTCTTTGTTTCCTCCATGCAAATTCCATAATTGAGCTTCTTTTCACCCAGGACTTCTACCAATACCTGTGTCCTTGAGATAACCCCAATCCATGTCTCCACAGCAGCTTCCCTCCTGACCTCTGTAGCCACCATTCCAAGGCTGTAGGGGCAGTCCTATTCAGGTGTCCAACCCGCCTACATCATCATGATGCAAAGAACTGGAGTATCACTTTTTCCCACTCCAAAACCCTCATTCCATTTGCTTGATTCACATATGACACTACCATCTAGTTAACAAGCCCAGCCAGAACATTCTGAGTCATCCAGTGATTCTCCTTCTATCAATCTCCCTATCCCCAGTCAGCTGTCAATTTATCAGCTGAGACTTTTCTTTATCTTATTTATTAATATTTTACTTATTATTTTTATTTAATGTGTGCGAGTGTATTGCCTGCATGTATGTAAATGCACCCATATCATGCAATGCCCCTGGAGGTCAGAAGAGGGTTTCCAATCCCCTGAAACTGGAGTTACAGACAGTTGTTAGCCGCCATGTGGGTGCTGGGAATCAAACCCGGGTCATCTTCAACAGCAACTATTGCTCTCTTTTTTAAAAAAAAATTTATTATTTTTATTTTATGTGTATGAGTGTTATGCTTGTATGTAGGTAAGTGCACCCATGTCATGCAATGCCCACAGAGGACAGAAGAAGCTGTTGGATCTCCTGGAACTGGAGTTACAGACAGTTGTTAGCTGCCATGTGGGTGCTGGGATTCAAACCCGGGTCTTCTGCAAGAACAGTGTTTGTAACTGCCGAGCCATCTCTCCAGCCCCTGCAACTATTGCTCTTAACCATTGAGCCACCTCTTCAGTCTCCTATCCCTCTTTTTTTTGGGGGGGGGAGGTCTTTTTTTAAAAAAATATTTTATTTATTTTACATGTATGTGTGTATTGCCTACATGTAGGTAAGTGCACCTGTGTCATGCAATGCCTGTGAAAGACAGAAGAGGCTGTTGGATCCCCCTGGAACTGGAGTTACGGACAGCTACTGTTAGCTGCCATATGGGTGCTGGGATTCGAACCCGGGTCTTCTGCAAGAACAGTGTTTGTAACTGCCAAGCCATCTCTCTAGCCCCTGAAACTATTGCTCTTAACCATTGAGCCACCTCTTCAGTCTCCTATCCCATTTTTTTGGGGTGGGGCTTTTTGAGACATGATCTCCCTGTAGCCCCAGCTGGCCTGGAACTCACTATGTAGACCAGGCTGGTCTTGAACTCACAGAGATCCACCTGCCTCTGCCTCCTGAGTGCTGGGATTAAGGGCATGTGCCACCATGCCTGGCTACATATCCTTTTTTTCAAAAGACAGGTTCTCATTTAGCTCAAGCTGGCCTTGAACTGACAATGATCTGGAACTGCTTCTATATCCTAGGTGCTAAGATCATGTGATAGTTCTAGGAATGGAACCTAGAGCTTCATGCACGCTAAGCAAGCACTCTACCAACTAAATCACACCTCCAACTCTTGTTTATCTCTTGCAATTCTCATATTCCATGTTTCTTACCACAGAACTTTGCTTCTTCTTATTCTCTACTGAATAGAGAGAAGTGATATGAGCAAGACTGTATGTCTCAAGCTATCCTTTTCCTATGGCAAATCTGATCATGCGATGCCCTGCTTAAACTCCTCCAATTGAGTCCCACAAGTTTCCACTTCCTTAGCCTCACACACCATCCCTTCATCACCTGGTCCTACTGATCAGTTCAACCTCACCTCTCAAAGTTCCTCAACATGGAACCACCTGCAGTTCTATGAATTTACAGCATATTCTTCCCCTACCTCACTCCACTGGAGACATACTTCCCCTGGAGACAGCTCCACCTCATACATATCTCCCTCTTGCAGACTCAGCTTAGATAATAACAAGTTCCCTGGGGAAGCCTTCCTCCCCACTACCTCCCAAGGTATGTTAGCTGCTGATCCTAAAGTTGCTTAGAGAAGTGATCATCTTGTTATCATTCGTTTATTTGTGAGTCTCTTCTGCAGAGAAGTCCTCTGTGATTGGGAAAAATGATATTTATCTTTGTATCGTCTATGCTTGCCACAAAGATCAATATAGAGCTAGCAAGTGGCTATTTGGTGAAAAATCATCAGTAGGGTAGTTTTTATATAGCTGCTATGTCTCACTTTGATAAGGTAAACTGCAACCATCCTAGCATGCTGGAAGACTCAAGGGCATCATCATCATCGTCAGTTCTTTCATCCTTCTTGTATCACTGTCTCCAAAGATGAAGAACTTCATCCTAGCACCCTCCAGGTCCTAGCTCTCCCTGGATGGGGAAGACACTTCCCAATCCCCAGTCCACCATGTCTGCCGAGAACTTCAAGTTATTCTCAGCCCTAGGTTTATACTGGAACACCAGAGTCCAAGACTTAACTCCTACTTGACACTGTCTTTTGGATGCCTAGTAAGAACATCCAATTTACTATGTCCAGCCCCAAAGTCTCAATTGTCTTTGTCCCTCAAGCCTGCTCTTTCTATAGTCTTCAACATCTTAAAAAAGGGTAGTGCCAAGCCTTGCATGGTGGTATATACCTGTAATCAATCCTAGCACTCAGGAGGCTGAGGCAGAAGGATCAGGAATTCAAGGGCTACATAGTTTGAGAGCAACCTGGGCTACATGAGACCCTCTCTCAAAAAGAAACAAACAAACAAATCCACACCAGAAAAGCAGGGCTGGGATGTAACTCAGTTGATAGAATGTTTGCCTAACACACAGGAAGCCATGGATTTCACATCCACCACCACACAAACCAGACATGGTGGTGCATGCTTATAAGCCTAGCACTCAGGAGGTAGATAAGTCATCTTCAACTATATAGTGAGCTTAAGGCTGGCCTGCATCATAACCAACCAACCAACCAACCCAAGAGAAAAACAGCCCAGTCAGTTGCACTGTTTCCAAGACCTTTGAAGTTTTCTTTATTTCACCCCTCAAATTCTATATCTGAGTCATTAGCACATCTTACTGGTTCCACAGTTGAAGTATATCCAGAATCCAGTCATTTCACTCGTGTCACCATAGCTACCATCCAGCTAAAACCTCCTCTACTCTCAGCCTGATGGCTGTAAGTCTTCTGGCTGATCCCCTGCTTCCACGTTATTCTCCACCCAAGCTCATGTCACCCAACTTAGACTTTTCAGCCTAGGCTTCTCCAGTGCCTTCTCATTCTAAGTCAACTGAAATCCTAAGTCCTTTCAATGAACCCTTAGATTGGAGAGTCTACTTTTTACTATGTCTTTGACTTCATCTGCTTCATGTCCCTTCTACACTGGCTTCCTTGTTGGTCCCTCTGCTTCGAATAGTCTCCTGGATATACACACACTTCAATCCCTTGCAACGTTTAGATCTCCACTCAAATGCCACCTAATCAGACAGGGCATCTCTAACCTCCCTCTTAAAAAAAAGACTCCTAATCACCTCCTGTCCCTTTACCCATCGTTTAAAAAATTGAATTACACTTTATTTATGTGTGTGGGTGTGTACATGCCACAGAGCGTGTGTGGGAATCACAAGACAACTTGTGGGAATTGGGCCTCTACTTCTACCATGTGGGTCTTGGGGACAGAACTCAGAGCAAGCCTTTACCTGCTGAGCCATCTCGCTGCTCTCCCCTTTGCCTATCTTTAATCTTCCTTATGTATATTTTATATGCTGCATCTATTTGCTTATCTATGTACTGAATCTCCCCCTGCCCCTAACTACCACTTTCTAGGATGGAGACTTGGTCCCCCAGGCACATGTCTGCCCAGCGTCTGACACGCAGCCTGACTCCTACCCACTTACCAGCCGGGAGCTGTAGATGGGTGGCTTGATGGGTGTGGCCACAGGGCAGTTGATTCGCTTCTCCTTTTGGCGTCTGTTGCAGAACCAGACCCTTACCACCTCTTTCTCCATGGACAACTGCTCTGCAATCATGGAAATCTCTTCTGAGCTGGGTTTGGGGTTCTACAGGGACAAAGGGATAGGGTGTGATCAGGAGAGGGAAACAGGGTCAGGAAATGGAGGTGAGGTTCAGATGTTTCAAACATAAAGAATTGAATATATGGCTCAAAATTCTTAGAGTTCAATCTAGGCTGGAATACTGGCTTTAACACACATATACTGTGTGTCCTTAGGCATTTCCTTTACCTGTGAACCTCAGTTTTTCCATCTATGAAATGAGATATTGTGCCTAGCATATAAAACTATGGTAAGGGTTACATGAAAAAGCATGTATACACTGTCAAGCACAGGTCTGGTACAGATGAGAAGCCCCCAAAGGTAGGTCTCTTCTTACACTCCTTCGCTCAGCAGTAGCTCCACAGAGAGGGCTCCAAAGGTGAGCTGTGGAGGGGAGGTAGACTCTTACGGAAACATATTCCTCTTTGAGTCTTTTCTCAAAACTGTTTCCCTTCACATCTCCTTAGAAAGTGAAGAGGCTAAAACTCTCAGGCCCACCAAGTCTGCAGGATAACTGTATGCAATATGAAATCGTCATTCCCTCCTTCTGACCTGCCACTCAGCCTATGGATTGAGCTCTTCTCTCCTTCTTTCTTCAGTTTTGTACCCTCCTTTAAGTGTACTGCTCTGAGAAACCAAAAAGAAGGGAAACCCAGCTCTGGTTATCCTGCTACAGGATGCAGCCCTTGAGCCCTTGAGCTGGACACAGTAGGGTAGCTGCTAGAAGGTGAAAGTCCTAGCAGCGAGGACCTACACCAGTGGACTGAGCAGCACTCAGTACCCAGGGAGGCTCCAGGGGCTGATATCTGAGGGATCCTGAGGAGACACTCTTCAGCCCTCACCTGGTTCCCTCTTCTCACTTTTAGCTCCCTTGAGGCTCAGAGTGTACACACACTGGTTCAAGAATTTGCTTTTGCCACAAGTCAATCACAAGAATTTAAATGTGCATGGGAAAAAGGAATGGATGCAAATACTTTCAGAAGGCACTGGGAAGCCAGGTATGATGGTGCATGTCTATAATCCAAGCAGTTGGGAGACTAAGACAGGAAGAGGTCACCCTGGTCTGCATAGTAAGTTACAAACAGATCAGCTTGGGTGGGTTGTAGTGTGATACTTTATCTTCAAAAGCATGCAAAACAGGGCTGGAGAGTTGGCTCAGCAGGTAAGAGCATTTGCTGCTCTTGCAGAGAAACTGGGTTGGGTTCTTAGGACCTACATGGTGGCTAACAACTATCCATAATTCACCCTCTTCTGGCATCTGCTGGCATTTGCATGCATGTGATGCACTTACAGAAATATGCTACTGGGACCCTACGTTCCTCTTTGAGTCTCCCAGTAAGGGGACAATGAGCCAAATACATGTCAGAGAAAGGGGAGAAGAGTTTTCTGGAACTATGGAAGAAGGGTAGCATTCCACTCAAATTTCTGAGCTCCTGGAGAGGAGGGGTGTCTAGGCTTCTGAATATTTCCCATATGTGTAACAATAAAGAAGAGGTCACAGAATTGAGAAGAGTGGCGGGGCAAGAGAGGGGTGGGGGGGGGGGGGGGGGGGGGGGATGATGCTCAGGGTCTCACACTGGGCTCACTTCCTGAACACATGGCTCCTGCTCACCCACCTGCACAAGCTGGCCCACCCACTCCTACCCCCCGGGGGCTGCTCACATCTTGAAATCTCTTCTCCAAAGTCAGGCGGATGTTGGTCTCAATGCTGGTCCTTTTCTTCCTCTTCCTGCCAAATACTTCGCTGAGAGTAGGGTAAGAGCTGGGTGTGCTTGTGGAGGGATCTGATGGAGAGGACTCTGGAGGGAGGTGAAGGAGCAAACGAGGCTCAGAAAAGGAGACGTGTGGCTGGTCCAGCCTGTCAGAGCAAACCTGAGGTTTATGAGCCCTTCCCATGGGCCCTGCAGTGACATGCTCAAATCAGCCCTGACCCCAGCAGACTGAGTCCTGCTTCTCTAGGCTTACTCTGGGCAAAGGTCCCCTAGGCCTCCTACTGCAGAGTTTCCAGTGTTTACAGTCACGGTTCAGGGATACCCAGACATCAGTGGCTTGTGTGGGTGTGGGGGATGCAGACAGAGCATCTATGAGTCATGCTTTCCAGCCTGTTTTACAGATATGCCTGTCAGTGAATACAGGGTGAAATGGGTTTACCCTGGCACTTAGTAGTGAATTCTAGTGCTGAAGTCAGTTGTCCATGAGTGCAGTGTGGGAGCCAAGGTTGCGGGGTGTGGCAGATGGGCATGCCTCAGGGAGGAATCTCACTAAAAATGACCTGTAAAGCTCTTTCTTGAGATTCTAGGAGATTCTGATCACTTCTACTTGGACGCTCTAGTAAAAGCTGTCTCAGGGACAGTGTGTGGAGGATGGGAGCTTCCTTTTATGGACACTTCTAATAAGGAAACTTCCCAGGTCTTCTCTGGCTGCCCAACCTGCCCCTCTTACCTTTTCACTGGAGTAGGAAACCAATAACACCCCATACCCTAATTTAACAGCTCAGCCCTGGAGACGGGCTCCCTCCCTCCCTCCTTCTCTACCTGGGCCAGGGCTTCCCAACCAGGGCCCACTCAGCACCACTCCTACTTCCCTGGGAATGTCAGGGACATTTCTGGGGTGTCTCAACTGGGGAGATAAGGCAGGTACTACTGTCAGTGAATGGGGTAGAGATGAGGGCTACTGATAATTATTCTCCAATGGCTAGGCCACCACTCCCCCCAGGACAAAGAATTTTACTTGGTCCAAATGTCAGCACCAGGTAAATGTCTCGTTCCCTGCTGCCAGGCACTCCAAATCATTCCAAATGCCCTGCCCTCTTGGCTCATACCCTTGACCTCTTGGAAGGCCTGAATCCTCTTCATGAACCCACCTCCTGCTGTCAGGTATCCTTGAGCAGACTTGATCACAGCAACTGCCTGCCCTCTGACATCTACTCTAGAAAATCCAAGTAAAGACCTGGAGCTGCGCCTGTGTCTTCTGGTCCCAGTAGGAGCCAATATAACCCTATCTCCTGACCTAGGCCTATCCTATACAGAATTTTAAGTAAGTGGATTAAACTTGGCCGCCAAGAAGCTGTCCTGAAGTACTGGCTGGGTAGTTCTGGAGCAGGGAATGGAATAGAATGGGGGCAAGTTGTCCTGCCTTCAGACCAGAAGCCATGTCCCCCAAAGGGCTTCATCAGTAATGAAGCTGACATTTTATCTCTGCTTGCCAATGTCCTGGGTTTTATTTCTTAGTTCATGCTAGGCTCAAGAGGAGAAGAAAGGGGTGCTATGTCTTGACTTGATCAAACTCCACCACATACATGTTCCTAGATCACCCCTGTGAAATCCCCTGGGGCCCCTTCCATGCTTATTTCTCATTTCCCTGCCACCCACCTGCATCATTCAGCCACTTCTCCAGCAGTGGCTTGAGTTTGCACATGTTCTTGAAGCTCAGGTTGAGGGCCTCAAATCGTGAGATGGTTGTCTGGCTGAAGTCGTTGCCATACAGCTTGCCCATTGCCAATCCCACATCTCCCTGCATGGAGAATTGAGGAGGAATGTGAGGGACAGAAATATCCTTTTTGGCTCATGTCTCCCACCACTGTCACTATCATACATTCAGCCAGCGCATTGCACATCTGCCCATGGACTTACAACTTCCCAGGTCTTTTCCTTCTAGGATAGAGAATTGGTTTATTTCTCTCCCTGCACCCTGGATGGATTGTACCCTTGCCTGGCCTTCATTCCTATCTCTCTACCAACAATGTCCTTAGTTTCCCTTCCATTTGCTCTATTTGCAGGGAATGGGATGTGGTATGCTTGCTTCAAACAAATATCAGGATGCTCCTGAAATCTGCCCTTGGGAAGCCCCAGTTTCTACTCATGGAACTCAATTCTTCCATCTCTCACGCCCAAAACAAACCTGTGTGAAGCCCAGCTTAATGCGCCTCTGCTTGAAGGTCTTGGCAAACTTCTCCAGTTCCTCCAGGTCACTGGGTTCATCAGTCCCTCCAGGTAGATGCTTAGACACTGGCAGATGCTGCGGTGCTTCCAGATGGGGTTCTAAGGAGGATCCGGACAGCGCAGGGCGTCCAACTCCCTGATAGAGAATACATGCCAAGCTGAGCCTTATAGAGTCAACAGGTCAAACAGTAGTCTCTGGTATTTGTTGCTAATAGGCCCACTTAGAGTGTAACAGACCCTTGAATACACTGGCTCTATTTTTGCAGTTGGGAGGAAGTAGTGATTGGCATTTCTGTGAAGCTGAAGCAAATAACTGGACACCTGGGGTAGAAATGGCAGGAGGCAGGCAGGGAGGTGGCTTCTCTGGGTTTTGGTCTATGACTCACTGACTCTGAGAAGGTTACTTCCTCTTGTCAGCTTTCCACCATAAAAGGAGCTGGCAGGGTTGTTTACTAGAGAGCTCAGCATGGGACAAATCTCAGCCTGGGACTAGGAAAAGTCTTATTTGTCTTGCTCTTTCTTTTCCTCAGAGCAAAGTGACAGAGGTACACAAGAGGCAGGGACTGAAGATAACAGAAGACATCTGGGAACTCACGATGTTAGCAGCACTTCCATCCAATTTCAGACTCATGAGTGGCCCACTGTTTTCTTTCATGAGAATGTTGTGAGCTTATTGTATATATGTGTTTTTGAGACAAGATCTTGCTATGTAGCCCAGGCGGCCCTGGATCTCACAATCCTCCTGCTTCAGCCTCCCAAATGATGGATTTACAGGTGTGTACCACCATGCCCAGAGAGTGTTATAATTTTAATAAAGGTATTTTATTCTGTGACATCTCAATGCACCTTGATCTTGCTTGTAGTTCTCAGGAGATGTTCTTCCTTTAGTCTGCTTTTATAGGAAAATATAGCCTTACATTTAGAATCATGTTGCACCCACTTGCAGCCCGGAATGCACCTAATCTTAAGATCTCTATCATTCCACAAAGCTGGAGTGCAATCCAGACCTTGGGGTCCAGGCACTGTGCTCAGCACAGAGGCCACTGCTTGTGAGGATAGTGAGTGGAAATCCCCTTGTCTCTCCTTCCTGGTTTGCTTTTTGCTTACAGAGTTAAATCCTCCCTCCTATTCTGGTTCCCTGTAGAGACAGGCATCCTTATGAGGAAGAGCATACAGGGGCCAGAGCCAAGTTAAGAAAGAGATGTCTTCCCCAGGAAGAATCTTTTAGAATAGAGTGGCTGGACAGATCACAGATGGGTGCTGTTTTACAGGGAGATGGGAGTGGGGAGAAATGGACCAGACTAGACTCTCAGGACAAAGTCCAAGTTGCCCTTGAACCTTCCTTTTCATTAATTCCCTTGCTCTTTCATTTGGCAAACACTTTGAGTTCTGTTCTAGGCTTTTTTCCTCCTCCCTCCATATCCCATCAATTGCCTAATTGCATCAATTTGACTTCCCAGACATTGTTTATTCACCCTTCTATTCTTATTTCTGTCAGTCAGTCAATTAATATCACACCCTAGAAGGATCTTTCTACTGATTTACTTATAGACAGGGTCTCTATATGTTACTCAAGTTGATCTCAAACACCTGAGTTCAAGTGTTCCTCCTGCTTCAGCCTCCTGGGTAACTAGGACTATAGACAGAGTCCATTGCATCCTAACTAGGAAGATCTTAGTCATCTTCTAAATCTACTACAAGTCTCTTTTTTCTCTAATACTAGATGGAAGAGTTGGTCCTGGGTATCCTGTAGGACTTCACAGTCAAAGATCTGATTTTTCTAAGTAGGGAATGCTTGGGGAACATCCTGTAGGACAAGGGCATTTGATTCAGGTGTCCCATTTCTTTCAACCACCAGGTGGCGCTCTCTCCTAGATGTCTTCAGTGGACTCTAGCCCTGGGAAAAGCCTATGAGCCCTGGGAGATCTTAGTCCAGAGAAGGAACATTACAGGTCTCTGTGGTCATTTCTGGTCATTCTTTGCAGGACCAAGCCGTGCAGCTTTTCAGGTTATTAGCTTCCCAGGGGCACTCTGGCTTGAGGCTGACAAGAAGCAGGCGTCCTTTTCTAATTGGGAAACAGGTGCTGTGTGTGTGATCCACAGCTGCTCTGCTCCCTGCCCTCTACAAGACCTCGTCCATTTATACCCCACACATACCCATTACAGGATGCCAAAGTGGCCCTGAGCTGAGATTCTGGCTTTGCTGCCCTGCCTTCCTTGGGACTTGAGAGTGTCTAGGTGGAACTGTGGGGAACCTTAGCATCCCTTGAAACTTGACTGAGTCCCAGGATCTCAGAAGGGTGAAGCCAGGACCGGAAAGAGCTAGAGTTATGTGCACCTAGCAGGTGAGCCTGTGAGTTGTACCTCTGGGTTCTCATTCTAGTGACAGAGGGCAAACAGCCTTCTTGGCTGTAGTTTTGTTTTCCCAGGTGCCAAGGGAGAGCCCCTGACTGTTCTCCATTCCCAGAGGAGCAAGTGTCCTGCTAAAGAGGCAGGAAAGTCTAGGGAATTGAAGTCTGCACAGAGCTGAGATAATCCTAAAGGAAACAGGAGGAACAGGGGCAGTTACCTGGGAGGTGAGGCCAGGCCCTGTCTGTGGGAGGAGGAGGCTGCTTTGTTGCTGTGGAAAGGAGAGAAGATTCGGCTGCAGACCTGGGTAAGAGGGGAGGGACAAAGGAACAAACAAACAAACAAAATCCAGGCCATCTGAAAGACAAGCTCAACATTGGAACCATGCTAATGTCCCCCTCCCCCTGCTAACCTAATCAGGTCCCACAACCCACCTCAAGCCCTGTGGAGAGGCCCTGTGGGCACTGCCAGGCATTGCCACACACAGGTGGAGGTGAACCAGACTCAGGGATAAACAGATGTAAACAGCAGTCCCCAAACCAGTTCTTCTGCTTGCCTGCCTGCCAGAAGAGGCGCAAAGGCTAAGGAGGATCAAGACACCCTACCTGGGATCTGATTAGCTGGCTGAGGAGTCAGAGGGGAGGGGACACAGGGATGATTATAGAGCCCCAGAGGAGCAGAGGATTTCAGTCTGCCTGTAGGGAGGGCAGCTAGGATGCTGAGGCCTGCAGGATCTGAAAGAGGAGGGCAGACAGATGGCACCATATTGCTCTGAAAGTCACTGGGCCTTTGGTCAGAGGCTTCTAGGGACCAGGTCATCATATGCTTGGGAGAGAGGGCTGAGAGAGAAGGAAAGGCCAGATGCTGAACCTTAAAACCCCCTTGGGCAATGTGGACTGTACCTACATGTTACTTTGCTTAAGGACCTCCCTCTCTTTTCCTCTTCAGGAAAATGATCCAGAAAGGACTCTGCCTGGCTGGTGACAGTAACAGGCAACCCTTGTCCTGGGACTGCCACAGTTAGTTAGCACTTCTCCCTCATATCAGGAGTAGGGCCATCAAACCACCAAAGCAGACAGACCACCAATGCAGGCCACTTTGATCATTCAGCACAGAGAAGCGCCTCTGGATGTCTGCTGTTCCTAGGCTGTTCTGGTCACTGATGTACCGCATCTGCTAAAGCTGACCTTTCTGTTCTTCATTCTCAAAAAGTTGGGTTATAATTTTCCCTTACTAAAATAAATAGGCAAGAGGGTCTTAAAAGGAATCCTGGGCATTGTATTTTGAAATATTCAAAGCTTTTTCATGTGCAATTTATCAAGTACTTATGACGTAGAATTTTACTATTATCTTATTATTATTATTTATATAATTAAAAATATTTTATTATTTTTATTTTATGTGTATGAGTGTATTGCCTGCATGCAGGTAAGTGCACCCGTGTTGTGCAAGTGCCCACGGAGGACAGAAGAGGCTGTAGGATCCCCTGGGACTGAAGTTAGAGACAGTTGTTAGCTGCCATGTGGGTGCTGGGAGAAGGAAGCTTTAGAGAAAAAGTAAAGAAATACAAGATACTAGGGCAGCCCAAAGCATTAAAGAAAGCATGCTTAGAAAGGGATATGAGGAAGAAAAGGAGAGATTACACTTTTCTGAAGAATTCAGAAAAGCAGGAAGACTTGCAGAGACCTACATGTCAGGAAGTTCTGCACTATTCTCTCTCTCTCTCTCTTTTCTTTTTTTGCAAGAGCATTTTTGTTAAAAATATTTTATTTATTGTTTTTATTTTATGTGTATGCGTGTATTGCCTGCAGGTAGGTAAGTGTACCCGTGTCGTTCAATGCCTGCGGAGGACAGAAGAGGCCGTCGGATCCCCTGGGACTGGAGTTACGGACAGTTGTTAGCTGCCATGTGGGTGCTGGGATGTGAACCCGGGTCTTCTGCAAGAACAGTCAGTGTTCTTAACCGCTGAGCCATCTCTGCAGCCCTATTATCTCATTTTTATAGAGCAGGAAATGGAAACTTAGAGAGATTGGGTAAGCTTCTAAAGAAACGTAGCTAGTCAGTCATTTTTTCAAACCTATGAGTTTGTGATTTCAATCTTTCACCTGTTTTTCTCTCCTCTCCTTCACTGGATAATGCGCTCAATGCATCTCTGCCTAGGCCATGCTCACGTCATGAGAACAAACTGAACTTCTCTTTCCTACTTCCGGAGAATGACATGTATTGTTTAGCCAAAACAAATACTCAGTTATGTTCCTATTCATCCTAGTAATGTTCTAAGACGCCTTGGAAGCTGAGCATAGTGACTGTGACTTGGGCAAGTGCTGAGGACTGGGTAGAGTTGTATCCGTGCCCATTCTGGATTTCCAAATCCTCCACTAGAGATTTGCACAACTATTGAGAGTTTATACTTCCTCTAGCATTTTCAGCCCTATTTGGCAGAGGTGAGTAGGAGAGGCAATATAGTGTCATGGCCAAAAGTATGGGTCTCAGAGTGTTGTGAAACTTTCTTGCAGGTCATCAGAGACATATAATAACATTATCTACAACACAAGGTTACTCTGAAGAGTAAGTCAGAAAACAACTCAGCATCAAGCCATGTTACCTAGTGTTAGCAACACTTTGATCTGTTCATTCTGGGCCAGGGAAAACGCCTGGGAGTAACTTCACTGCCAAAGACAACCTGAACCTGCTTCCTACAGCCTGTGGGTGGCACTGTTGCTCCATCCAGACAGAATCACAGCCAGGCTTTCAGGAGGTAAAGGCTCAATACAGGACAGACTTTGGAGAAACTGGGACTCATTTGTACTCCGTTTCTCAGGGAGCTTCTTCCTTGTGCTACCCTCCCCCACCATCACTCGGGTACCTTCAACCTCAAATCCCATGAGTATGAAGTCCCAGTAAGAGGCTGGAGAGGAAGGGGAAGCAGGGAAGGGGGATAAGCCTGGAGGAGCCCTGCAAGGGGCCTTCCATAGGCCCCCAACAGAGACTGGGTTTCATATAGTCCAGGCTGGCCTTGAACTTGCTATATAGACAAGGATGATCCTCCTACCTCCACTTACAAGACTACTGGGATTACAGACGTCTCTGTGCCCAGTTTTACGTAATGCTGGGGATTGAACCCAAGGTTTCCTGCATGATAGGCAAGCATTCTACCAGTTAAGAAGTACATTCCAGCCCTAAGCTGGTCTTAATACCAGAGGAGTGAGCAACTCCTGTGCTCTATACATTGCATAAGCAAGGATGATCCTCCTACCTCCACTTACAAGACTACTGGGATTACAGACGTCTCTGTGCCCAGTTTTACGTAATGCTGGGGATTGAACCCAAGGTTTCCTGCATGATAGGCAAGCATTCTACCAGTTAAGAAGTACATTCCCAGCCCTAAGCTGGTCTTGATACCAGAGGAGTGAGCAACTCCTGTGCTCTATACACTGCATAAACATCAGCTTTTGCTGGACTCAAATAATGACTGTACAAGGCCCAGGGTTCTTACCTTGCTGCCCAGGAGGAGTCTGGGAAAGCAGGAACTGGGATACAGACTGTAAGTGGCTAGGGACCAGCACAAGCTGCTGCAGTGGATGGAGAGAAGTCATGTCCTGCATGTGGGGAGAAACAGATGTTTACAGTTTACAACAAGGGCACTTTAACGCCATCGGCCCAGAACTTATACAGTCCCTAAGGCTTCAGACTCTGGCAGATTGTGGGCAGTATCTTTGCCTCATGTTGCTGTGTGGCCCCAACACGTGGCATACAGTAGCTACTTCATTAATGTGTGTTGCTACATTTCCAGCACTCAGCCAGGCAGTCCTTGCAGTATATAGTTACTTAACCCTGGTCTCATGTTCTCATTTTTCTGTGTGTCCTGACTCCCAACTGTAGATGCCCTGAGGGCCGACACTGTTTCTCAAAGGCTTATCCTAGAAGTGGCAGCAGTCCCAACTATCCTATTTTGTTGTTGTTGTTGTTGTCTTTTGAGACAGGGTCTCCTTGTAGCCCCAGCTGTCCTGGAACTCACTATATAGACCAGGCTGGCCTTGAACTCACAAAGATCTGCCTGCCTCTGCCTCCCGAGTACTGGGATTAAAGGCGTGCGCCACCCCGCCCGGCCCAACTATCCATTTTTTTAAAAATATATTCTGTTACTTGATTGTCAAAAGCCAAGCTTTAGCAATTTTCTGCACCTGAGTCTTTCTGGAAAGTATTGGAGAGAGAGTTGGGGGATGGGGAAAACTATTATTTTTTTAAATATTTTATTTATTATTATGTGTATGAGTGTATTGCCTGCATATATGTGAATGTACCCATGTCATGCAATGCCTCAGAGGTTAGAAGAGGGATTCAGATTCTCCTGGAACTGAAGTTAAGGATGGTTCGTAGCTGCCATGTGGGTGCTGGGAATCGAACCTGGGTCCTCTGCAAGAGCAGTCAGTGCTCTTAACCGCTGAGCCATCTCTCCAGCCAAGTTATTTTTGTTGCTATTGTTTTATTTTAGATAGAATCAATAGCCAGGAGGGTCTAGAACTTACTATGTAACCCAGGCTGGCATGAAACTTGTGGCAGTCTTCCTGCCTCAATCTCCAAAGTACTGGAATTACAAACATGTAACACCAAGCCTAGTGTATTTTTGTTTGTTTGTTTTTGAGACAGGGTCTCACTATGTGGCCCTGGTTGGCCTGGAACTCTCTATGTAGACCAGGCTGGCCTTGAACTCAGAGATCCTCTTGCCTCTGCCTTTCCAGTGCTGGAATTAAAGGTGTGCACCACCATACTCTGCGCCAGGCTTATTAGTTTTTAACAAAACCAGTTTGGTTAAACAGAAAGTCCATTTCCCCTTGTCTTTTCTCACTAGCTCAAGACTTAGAAACAGTGACCACAATCTTTGCAGTCTATGGACCCGGAAGACCAGGGCCTATGCACGTAGACTCGACAAACCTCGTGGAATGAAGGGGTGAAGGGATGACCCCATATTCCAGTCTCATGTATGGCTAGGAAGTGGCTTTTCCTTTCCCAGGTGAAGTGCTCTGAGTCCCTTGGAGACTTCTGTCCTGCCTGCCCCAGGATACTGCTCTCTTCCCACATTGGCCCTCCACTTGAATTTGGTTTTCATATAATTTTTGGAGGAGGCAGAGTGGGCCCACTGGAGACAGAAAGCTTCTGAAACTGTGCAGCATCTGTGGTCCCAGGAGGTCCTCAAGTTCGCACCAGCAGATAGCTGTTGGGTCCTTTGCTTTGGCAAGATTGTGTTTTTGTCTTTCAGGGGAAGCAAGCTGTCATTTTGTGTCCCTTGTCAAGCCTTACCTCTACGAGGACTCTTTTTGAAGCCACACACTCCTAGGCCTCTTTTGCTTGCAAAGGGGTCCTTTAAATGGATTCACAGGGTGCCAAACATGGAGGTCCAGCATTTTTCAGAGGGGCTGGAATGAACTCACCAGCCTCCTAAGTATAACAGGGTCCCTGGGCATGGGCTGGCACCTACCCCAGACATTTGGTTTCCAGACATCATGGTAGGCCCTTGGCTCAGGTGGCATGGCCGATGGGAGAGGGTCTGCTGCAGGGAGTCACCGAGGTCCTCTGTCTTAATCTGCAAATGATAGCAGAAGGAGAGGGTGAATCCTGGGCCTCCCAAGTAGGCAGAAACAGATATATGAAGATTAAGCCAGGAGATGCATTACAAGCCTGGAGAGGAAGGAGCTAGCCCCAAATCCACCGGGATGCAGGGATGGATGGGTACTAAGTAGACTCTGTGAAAGGTGGATATCATGCTGGAGGACCAGCGTGTAGAGCTTTCCTTCACTGAAATGAGAAAAGCCAGGATAATATAGTGACATTTTCTAAAAAGAAAAGAAAGTTCAAGCCAGCAAGATGGCACAGGTGCTGCCAAAGCTGATGAGCTAGCTGGGTTTGACCCCAGGGAAGGGGAGAATCAGCTCCCACAAGCTGTCTTCTGGCCTCCACAGCACATACAGCCACAGAAGCAAATAAATAAATGTAATGAAATCTTTTTTAGAAAAGAAAGCTAAGCTGGGCATGGTGGAATATTCTTGTGATGCCAGTGTTAGGAGGCTGAGGCAGGAGGATTGCTGTAAATTTGAGGACAGTTTCAACTACATAGTTTCAGGCCAGGTGTGACTTTCAGGAATTCAGAATTTCTTTCCTGGGGAGACATAAAAAACTTCAGCCCCCTCTTACAAGGCCCATTGGCAAACCAAAGTATGATTCTACCAAAGTTCACTCTGGGAAACCAATGAGTTTATTGGGCTTACTTGCAGAGCATGGGATGAGGGGTACTTATAGAAGCATGGGGAGCCCAAAGCAGCCATGCTGGAAAGTCTTCACCCAGCACGGATGATGGCTTACCCCTTACCGTGTAGATGGACCTCCCCCTTAGGTTCACTGTCTATAGTCTGTATACTCTGGCATTTCTTCAGACCATGTGCAATTGGGGTAGAATTACATAGAACTGGCCTGGGGGTGCAGAAGGGAGTGGCAGGACCCCCAGGTGAGGGTCTAAAGAACTTCCCACCCCTCCTTCTATGAGGGAGCACCAATGGTCAACAAGTCTGATCTTAGGGGTCTCCTGCAAGTATTCATAGCTGTACTGATGACAAGGATGGTTGTTAGGTTGGAGGACAGTACAGAGGATAATGATTTATAACAGGGCTACAGGGCTAAAGTGTGAGACCCTGCGTCAAAGAAACAAACCAACAACAACAAAACGCCACAAAAACAAAAACAACCTCCCCCTAAAAAAACCCAGAAAGGTTGGGCATGGTGGCATTCAAGAAGCAGAGGCAGGTGGATCTCTGTGAGTTCAAGACCAGCCTAGTCTACCTATTGAATGCCAGGCTGGTCAGGGCTGCATTAGTGAGTCCCTGTCTTAAAAAGCACCCAGGAGCTGGAGAGATGGCTTAGTGATGAAGAGCATTGGCTGCTTTTCCAGAGGACCTGGGTTCAGTTCCCAGTATCCATGTGGCAGCTAAAAACCAACTGTAATTTCAGTTCCAGGGGGTGTCCAGATTGGACACCCTCTTCTGACCTCTGCAGGCATTGTACAACATGGGTGCACTTACATTCGTACAGGCAATACATTCATACACATAAAATAAAAATAATAAAATAGTTAACAATTACAAAACCACCAAAACACACAAACAGAAAACCAAAACACACAAACAAAACAAAACAACCAACCAATCAACAGATGACCAGAAAAGAAGTGTAATAGGTGGCCAGGGGTAGTATACACACCTGTGCTCTCAACATTCAGGAAGCTGAGGCAGGAGGATCACATTGCCTGGGCTACATAGCAAGACCCTATCTCAACAGAACCAAACAAACGAAAAGGAAGGCTTACTAGATGAAAACCCTGTAAATTCTCAGAGGATGTTCTTTTCCCTAACATATGGAGACACCAGCATTTCCTTTAGGAAATGAATCTTATTCTAAATGATATCTTTAAAACTCTCCCCCTCAAGCCGGGCGTGGTGGCGCACGCCTGTAGTCCTAGCACTTGGGAGGCAGAGGCAGGTGGATCTCTGTGAGTTCGAGGCCAGCCCAGTCTACATAGTGAGTTCCAGGACAGCTGGGGCTACAGGGAGACCCTGCTTCAAAAAGACAAAAAACAAACAAAAACACCCACACAAAACTCTCTAGCTCAAAGACCAAAAACTTAATAACCTTTTCTGGTCTCCCTCAAGTCTATTTTTTAAAATTTCCTTGCATGGATTCCCATCTATAAAACCTAGAAGCCTGGGGGCTGTGGCCCAGGAGGACCCTCTACCCCTCCATCTGTCTTCTCTACCCTCCCTATGCTGAGCTTTCTCTGCTGAGGCCCTTCTCGTCTGTGTGGCTTTGGTGACAGTCTTTGCCTGTCTCCCTACAGGCAGAGACATGTCTTTCTCACAGCCTGAGGGGCCCTTGGTAGTTTCCAGTTCTCTCCAGTCTCCACCATCCTTCAATGACACATGAATCACCTACTCCTGGGTTTCCCAGGAATCCCCAGGCAGGCAGGAAGTACTACTTGTGCCCATCCCTCCCCCTACTCCAGCTACTCCAGAACAACCACCCTCTTGCAGGATTTCAGGAAGTCCACTGAGAAGAGAGCCACATGACTCTGAATCCATACAGTTCATAGAGGAATGCTGACCTGACTCCACACGACCCCTTGAGAAGGACTGGTGGGACCCTCTGAAATGGATAGCTGGTAGCTGGTTGTTTTCTCCCCAGATGGAAGCTCTTGGCTGTAAAGATGCTGACTTAAACCGCTGTCTAGGTCTACCCTGGGAATACCAATGACACCCTGAATCTCCCCTAGTGCGTATTTGTCTAACCCAAGCTAAAAGTTGAGAGTAAGAGTTGAATACCACTGTGGTGCGTGCCTGTAATGCTAGTACTCTAGAGGCTGAGGCTGCAGGATCTTGAGCTTAAGAACAGCCTGGGCTACACAGAAGACCCTGTCTCAAGAAACAGCATATATATATACAATTGATACCAGAACCTATGCTGGCTATGGGCTGATCCCTATGGAAAATGGTCTTTGGATCACTAAGGAAGGAGCTAATATCCCATGTAGGGCTTTGCACATCATGGAAACCCAAAGAATGTTAATTGATTAAAAGACAAACCAGGGGGCTGGAGACATGGCTTAGCAGTCAAGAGCATTTGCAGATGGCAGACTTGGTAGTCCAGTTACTGCAGATGAAGCAGGTCCAAGAGACCCCAGAGAAGCCCTGGACATTCAGAGATTGGTAAGAAGGTGGCTTTCTGAAGCACACAAGTCATTCCCCTCACATACTGAGACCATTCAGGAGCCTTGAAACAAATGGGAGGAAGAGAAATGGGATTGTAGCACTATGGGGGCAGAGAGTGAGTCTGAAAACTCAAAAGTTAGGATGTGTGGGGCAGTCTCCAGAGAGCCCCCTTCCTAGGACCCTTTATCTCTGCCCATCATGCTTCGTACCTGGACCTCAGAAGTGCTGATGCCATACTTCCATGCACAGACCCCAGAGTTTCCACATCCTACATTCCATTGAGACATTTGTTGGCAGGTTTTGAAAAACTAGAAATAGACAATCAATGACTTCTTCCCAAACCACCATCACCAAAACAACTTTCAGGTTTGTTCTCAAAGGAGATTACTTAGGCAAAGCCCTTTTGGCTAGTCTTCCTGTTGTGCTTCTTGGCTATGTCCCCCTTCCTGCCACCTTCCTGCCATCAGGCATCCTCAGCCCAGACCAGGTGGGAGAGGCAGGATGGAGGAAGGGGGACAGAGGGAGAACATGGAAACTGGAGAAGAAATCATGCTGGTGGAGCCACCTCAGGCAGCCTGGCATGGCTCCAGCTCAGAGGCAAGTGGTGGGTTCCTTTCCAGGCTCATTATGCGTCATGGAGAGATAAGGAGGTGTAGCTATGACAGAGCTCAGAAGCATGTGCCTTTGCCTCCAACCTGGGTGCTATCTGTTAGGATCGCTGCCAGGTCTGCCTGCAATACTGAAGTTCAGAAACCAGCGCTACCATAAAAGAAAACACATCCTTTCATCTGCTTCCTAGATCAATGCCCCACACTCTTTGGGGGAAGAGGCACCCTTACCTCTCCATTCAGCAAAGTGCCTGATGGTGGAAACCTTAAGGTATAGGCTGGAACTTTCTGGCAACTTTCTATATTACTCTTCTGAGGTTTTGTTTTTTATTTTGATTAATCAACTTTTTAATTCATTCATATTTCAACAATCCCTCATCTCCTGGGTGAAAAGTGTTAACTGTAACCCCCAAAGAAGACAATTCTAAACAAAAAATAAAACAGGACTACTACTTCCTTTTCCAGCTTTACTAGACTGGAGTGTCATGTGCAGTGGTTGAGAGCTTATGAGGTGGGTACAGGCCTTGGGTTGCATCCTCAGAATTGCAAAATAAATAGGATAGAATCTCAGTTTTGGCTTGTGGAACTCAGAAAGAGCAGAGCTAGGGCAGGGCATGTAGTTGAGTGGTAAGTGGGCAAAGTGCCTGCTTAGCATGGGTAAGGCTCTGGAGTCAATGTATAGCACTGGCTGGGTTTGGTGGTACACACTTTTAATCCCAGTACTTAGGAGGCAGAGGCAGGCAGATCTCTTTGAGACTGAGGACATCCTGGTCTACATAAGGAGTTCCAAGCCGGCTGGGGATATAGGGAGACCCTGTCTCAAAAACAAACAAAAATCTATAGGATTAAAAAAACCCAAACAAACCACAACTAGTATGGCATGGAGCTAGCGTACATAGGCAACTCTGTAGCCTCCAAGCATGGTTTCTGGACACACTTAGGGACTATGAAACTAAGAAATGAAGAAATAAAGGTCTTTGCTAATCCAAAAAAAAAAAAAAAATCCCTTTTCACAGCTGTCGAGTGGAAAAGGCTGGAACCCTTCCAGGCAACTGGGTGTTGGCTATAGGTCTGGGAGATGAGATAGAGAGAGACTTCTGTTGGATCCCATTGACTTCTAAGGTGAGAACCGCAGGCGAATTGGATGGAAACCCAGGTTCCCCTGTACTTGTGAAAACCCAACAAAATCCACAGGCTGCCTGGAACCAGGAAGTTCGTCTCCA